CTACTACTACTACTACTACTACTACTACTACTACTACTACTACTACTGCTACTAATAATAATAATAATAATAATAATAATAATAATAATATATAGACTATATATGCTTACACCAATAGATAATTAATATCAGTATAAAATATTTATTTATCTACGTGTCTGTGCGAATCCTTTTACTTATCCAATATGCTTTAAAGCAACTGCAGCAGCGCTAAAAACTCATCTTGCCAATTCTCTTTTCGCTTACGAAAAGATATATTAAAAGAGTAAAGCAATATCGTATCTTGCACTCATTTTGATGGTGATCCCTATCTTAATTTCGCAGCCATATCTTAATGTAAATATTCCATTGAAATTTATTTAAAACAAAAGAAAAAGGAAAATATAAAGGAAAAGGGGTTTTCTGCTACTTAATCATCCTTCGCAAAGAGCGTCCATAGAAGTATCATTGCATAGTCGTCCGTGTGAATAGATAGTATTGCGCTCTATTGTAATGGACGGCAAAACTTCCTCACGTAGAATATCACTAAAGCAAAACTATCTATTACTTTTAGGTACCCAATGCCCGAACCTGTCATATAAGCGTAAATTTATTTAGTTATTTTCATCATTGCTATCAAAGACTCTATTCAAGTTAGATATCGCATATCATCATATTTGTGTAGGAAAATTTGAATTAATTTTCAATAATTTTTCCATACATTATGTATGTTTTTCATAACATTAAAAAAACTTCTTTTTTTTTTTTTTTTTTGTAAATGTAAATGTTGCATTATTGTCATTATTGTAATATAAGATGCGTATCTACCATTAGGTGGTCGCTGAGTTTTACTTGAAGTTATTACAATGAACATAGAAATCCTTACAATCAATTAATTGCTTAATCTGTTTGTCTTTTCACCTTAACAACTATTGAATGGTGACTGTACGTAAGCAATATACATACGTACGCACATACATACATACATACATACATACATACATACATACATATATTGATATAGAGCATATGTCGGATGATTGGTGCAAAGAAGTTATGATATGTACCCTTATTAGGAAAGGCCAAAACCGATTTCCTTCTCCAAAAAAAAAAAAAAATTTTTTTTTCTTTTTAATTTTTTTTTTTGTCCAATTAAACGAAATGCAGTGAGAAATGTCTGATTTGACAATGTCAAGATTTAAGCTTCGGTAGGTATTGTTCCTTGACGTTATGCAAAATATATAAATTAATAAACGATTAACGATTGAATAAAAGTTTAATAAGCTGCCATAATATTGTTCACACTTTTCCTTAGCTAATCGTTCATTTCAGTGAATAGGTTTCAAATTACGAAAAATTATTATTGTTGTGATCAAAAATCATTGAAATATTGTTTATTAAGTTGCAATTATTTTTCCACTTATGTCCATGTTGTTATGGAAAACACTTAATTTCACTGTAAGCGTATGCTACACCATGTAACTGCAATAATTACAATAATGAGCTCTAATCTTGTTTTTTATAAACGATACACACTGAATCCTGATAATAGCAAATTCTCAATATGTAATGTTGTATAATGTTGTTTAACTTCATTTCCTACCGAAAGTATTCATGTTTAAAGAAATCAAAAAATCTATAAAAAGTAAATTTAGTCAAGCATTGACTAGAATTTCTGCAAGTTATTTTCATCGACAATAGCATTTTATGTTAGTGACGCTATCAGCTAAATTACAAGTCCTCTCCATATCGCCCCTCTTTGGTCAAATAATAACAAAATATTTTGTATAAATGTTATATTGTTGTTATAAAACACATATTTGTGTCTCCTACTCTCTCTCTCTCTCTCTCTTTCTTTCTTTCTCTCTCTCTCTTTCTCTCTCTCCCCCTCTCTCTCTCTCTCTCCCTCTCTCTCTCTGCTTATCGCTCTATCACTCTATCTCTATCTATCTTTTAATATATATCTCTATGTATATCGTTTCCTCAAATCGTTTTGTCAGTGTGTATGTAATACTGGTGTTTACTACTACTAGTAGAGGAATGCATAAAATATATATATGCAGAAACACGTATATATAGAATATATTACGTAATCCTCTAAATGTTGTAAGTTTGTTGTATTCTGTGTATTGAGGAGTTCCTGGTTATACGATATGGTTTTTCAAAGACACAAAACTTTGTTTTTCTTCTCTCCATCACTTCTTTATGCGCACACTTTGCATATTCCTTTACGCTGCAATGCTTTTAAATCTGGCTGCCCGCAAAACGATTGATCGCAAATGTTATTTTCTGTAAACATACAAAACAATCGTAACAAACGAATGTAACCAATCAACTGTGCAACATGTCCGTCCACTGTATGATGGGATAAAAAAAAAAAAAAAAAACGAAAAAAAATTGTTTATGATAATGAATAATTCTTCCATAATTTCACTATTGTTATTATTAACATATTTTTAATGCAACTCGATGATGATGCTGTAAAAAACAAACAAACAAACAAACAAACAAAAAATGACTATTTTCTCAATGCATTATTAACAAACAAAACGAAATGTATGTATAATTTTCTTGCGATCCGGTAATGGTGACTATTGCCAACAACACACTACATTAAAAAAAAATAATAATAAAATTTAAAAAAAAACAATAACGATAACAATAACAACAACAACATTACTAAACAAACAATATATAATAATAATAATAACAACAACAAAAACATATTTGCATTATCACATCTCGTGCTCTTAACCGCAATAATACATCTTCCTACATTTACATAAACACGCAACAAACACACACACACACACACACATATATATATACATGCACACATATATAAATCCATATAAACACACACTTGTTCATACAAACACAACACACACGCAATATATGCGTTATATATATATATATATATATATATATATATGCATATATATATGTGTGTATATACCTTATCATCATAACTTCATTATCTGATTAAAAATTAATCGGAATATTGCAAAAAAAATTTTAAATTAAAACAAAATTGAATAAATACATGAAACGCACAAACACACACAATTAAATAATACATTAGAAAAGCGCGAAAGTCGCAATAGATCCATTAAAAATTGGCATCGTTTAACGAACGCCCTACGACGGTCACCCACAGGACACAATCTATCACAAACGGATGGCAATAGCACGGAAGGCGAATCAACTAGTGGACGAAATCCGGCCACCACAGGCATCGGTTGCTATAAAAGTTACGATCATATCTCAAATATGAAAAACTCCAGCATGTTACATGTAAGTAATTTTAATACAATAATTTTTTGATATATACATAAATATATATATACATATATATACATATATATATATATATATGTATATATATTTTTACATTTTTCTACTCTGTATCCATGTCGCTGTCTCTCTTTATCTTTCTTTCTTTTTTTTTTTCTTTCTCTCTCCTTCTCTCTATTTTACACTCGTTCTTGTTAATAATATATAACCTTTTGATCTCTAATCCTTTCATTCTGACATGTAATTTTCTAATTTTTATCTTAGGTAAACATTAGTTTTAATATTGTTGCAAATCTTTTAATCTCTTAGTGATAGATATGTGTTTTGTAGACATAAAACCAAGTTATTCTTTTCTGTTTCTTTTTTATTCCTTTTGTTTTCTTCATTTTTTTAATTACTATTGAAATGTTTACATATTTTCTTTTATATGTTTTCTTGCCTGTTTTTCTCTTCGATATTTATAGCATCGTTCATCTGTACCTGACCATCATGATGCTGTCCCACCTTATTCATTTGAAAATCCGAATGCTCGTCAAACATCAATGATGGCCATGGAGAGCTACAAACGCGAACAACAAGCTCTTCAACAACAGCAGCAGCAACAGCACCCACAACAGCAACTGCAACAGCAGCAACAGTTAGAAGAAGACACAAAGAAATCTTTATTAATTATAGCATCATCAGCTGAAAGCGCAATTACCACAAGTGCCCCAAGCGTCCCGCTAACAGGACCCGATGAAACTAATGCAATCGCCACCGCAACATCCCAAGCCGTTGATGCGAATGCACCACCATCAGTACTACCCATCCAGATGATGATCAAACCCGGGGTAAGTGCCGAACTGAAGAAATTGTTCATATCGTTTAGTTAACGTTCACAAATACATGGAGCCAATCACAGTATTCACGCATCCATCCATAAACACCCAGCTACATATATTTAAAAAATAAAAAAAAAAAAAAAAAAAAAACAGAAAACAGAAAACAGAAAACATAAAACGTAAAAAGAAAAGAAAAGAAAAATGAATAAAAACTCACAAGCGTACACAGTTAAACATAAATACACACACTCATACTCGATCGTTAGATGTCACAACTTATTTTGTTTTGTTTACCAATGTATTCATTTATGCATTGGTTACGTACATAGTTGTATTTTTATTGTACTAATCGTACATATACATATTATTCGTTAACGTCCTTCTTATATACTCGTGTATCCTGTAACATAACAATTCTATAAATATTTTCGCATATTTCTCTTATATTCAAATTGTGAATCGTTTTCCTATTATTATCTGTACTATTATTATTATTAATAAATTTGTGTAAAATGTAGTTAATTTGTCTTGTTTTATATACATCCACATACACACGTACATACACACACACACACATATATACATATATACATACATATATATATATATACATACATATATACATACATATATACATACAGATATACATACATATATACATACATACATATTTATTCAATTATATATTAAATGTTGATTATAATTATTTTTATTTATACATATAATCTATAAAAGAAATCATTCAAAAGCATTCTGTGCATAAATGTTATATACTATCGTTTAGCAAAACGCAAAGGTATAAGCGTGAGCAAAGTGAAGAAATCATTCAATAGATTGTTTCTTTTTTCCCATTCTTTTCTTTTTTTCATTGTTGTTCACAAATTACGCAACTTTTTTTATTATCACCACGCGAAGTTACGCGAAGTGTAACAAAAACAATTGAAAATAAAAATAAAAAATGAACGAAACTGCTACTACAAAAGACAATTACCCTGAATACGTAGGCTTTTAATCTACAATGTAACCTCACCTCGTCAAAGGTGTTAATCCGAATTTTTTAAAGGTTCATTATGTGACTACACTGTTTTTAAGACTGCTCTCAACTCTTGCTTGCACAAGAAAAGAAAAACCAAAATCACTTTTCTAATGCAGTTTTTTATCTGCTCGATCGAATATCGTATTAAAATTTTATCAGTAAAATTTAGACTCAAACTTCTCGGAATGAAAATCAATTAATGATTTAAGTAAAGTATAATAAAAATAAAAAATATATATATCTCACATAGTATTAACTTGACGCTAAATATGCTTCAAATCAATTCTTTCAAAATAGTCCTATACACCTATACATGAATGAATATGTTTAAGAATCTAATCGTCGTGCTTTTGCAAATCGAACAATGCTCTTAAGTTGTGTTTAGCATTACGCAAAAGAAAAGTCACAGTTGTCCGATTTTTATCATAATTATTATGCCATATTGTGTAAAAATTTCTATTAAATTTAAAATTTTGAATTGTCTGCCTCTATGTAGAAGTTCACATAATAAATATCTCATCGTAATGGATATAAACAAATTTTTGATTACCCAAATATATGAAAATATTTATAAAATGTCAGTATATCGTTCGTATCGCTCGATCGTGTCTACTACTGTCGTCAACTTTTAATGTTTAATATCGTAGGATGAAAATGCTCTCAAGCGATTAGGAAACATTTTTAGCTAATCGATATACTGAATTGTTGTAAATTATTTATGAAATATTGCAATACCGATAAATATGTATTTGAGTGTGGAGTCAAGCGAAAATTGTGCTGAGAATTCGATGAATAAATTTAACAAATATTTCTTTACCTAACAGAAAGACTTTTCGTATATCTTTCATATTAAAAAATTTTTCAAATTCCTTCTGCGAAAGTTTTTTCGTAATTTTCATAATATCGAAAACGTATGAAAGATGCAGAATATATTTCTAGAATGAAAAACTTTTTGTTCTATATATACAACATCTATGCACACGTATATATATATATATATATATATATTAAAATGAGTTACAAGGTTTTGAAAATTGTCTTCTAAATATTCACTCTGTTAATATCGTATACTGATGTGACAATATTGAGTTTATATGCTTCGTAGCTTAAAAAGAAAAAAAAATAATAAAAAATAAAAAAAAAAAAATGGAATAAATAAATGAATAAAACAAAAGAACGTACTTGTGTTGTCATTATTTTCATTTATATTTTTTAAAACACACACACACACACACACACACACACACACACACATGCATACATACATACATACATACATACACATAAATACAAATTCACATGCATACGCACATTATTTTCGTTTTACGTTTAAAATATAGTAACAAAGCTAAATCCAAGTCGATATCATTAATCTCTCTACAAGCATACGTGTCAGATAATGTTGATCGTATGCATGTAGATTAAGTGAAATGTTCTATAACGACTCGATCATGAGTTTCAAATAGAGTTTTAAAAACAATTACTGTTTGCTCTCTAACTCATACATACACAACTTTTGAACTTTATAGATATTACGGGGAAAGAGTAAGGAGGTATAATTACTATTTTCTCTCTCTTATTCTCTTCTTTATCATTATTATTATTATTATTATAATTATTATTATTATTATATATTATTATATATCATTTATTATTATTACTATTATTATTACTATTATTATTATTATTAATATTATTATTATTTATTTATTATTATTATTATTATTATTAGTATTATTTATTATTATTATTACAATTTATTTCAGTTTTTACCCAATGTTTGTTTGCTTTCATTTGAATTTAAGAAAGTTTCTATATTTAAAGGCTGATATTTATATATTGATTGATTGATTAATTAATTTATTAAGTAATTGATTGACTGCGAAAGCTACACTTGTGCATTCATTGTATGCCCAATTTTATCTAAACTAAATACTTGCATACGGACAAAATCGTTATTCCGAAACAAAAGCAAAACTGAGATGTGTTTGTTTATGTTGTAGAATGAAAATCTCGCCATAGAAGACATATAACAAATTATGAATGATATTAATTGGTCATGCTCTCTGTCTTATTCTTCAAATTACTTACTTCTTACTTTTTTTTTTTTTTTGTTGAATGCGTAAAACTTTGTTCATTATTTTCTTCACAAACTTTTTTTATATATATATTATACATTTTGCTTGATAACTTGAATATGTTTGTGCAATTTATCATTGCCCAATTGCCGCAATAATTATCCAATTGCTTTTGGTTTGAAACGTTCCATGCACAGATCTAAATATATCAACATGTTTATATAACATATTCTATGCTTTCTTCTTAGTAATCGATAAATTTAAGGCAAGAATTATTCTCTTAGAAAAACTTGCATCCGCTGCTGGCCGGAGCTTGAATGCCCACCACCTAGATCAAATGACCATAAATCTGTTACATATTTTTTGTTAATCGCGAAAGTGACTGCAAATCAATTGAACTCACACCAATATTACACACTCATATGCCACTCCAATATACATATATATTTTAGTTCGTAAAGTGCTGCCTAAGCAAAAGTATTTTTCCGTAAATTTTTTGCAAATTTTACTCGATTCGAAAGCTAATCTATTGAGTTTAACATACAAGCTTATATGAAATTATAAATTATTACAAAACAAGTAAGAAAATTATAGTCGGGCAAGGCCAACCATTCAATACCCTACACCAGATTGCCTAACACAATTCTTATTTTTATATCAAATTACTACTAAGGAAGGATCAATTTTCATGAAAAACCTTATTAGCGTAGGGTCCATCAAATAGGCCGAGATGGCCCAAATTTAGTATAGTTAAATTTTGTTATGTTAAATTACTATTATGATATAATTTTCATCATAAAACATTAAAGTTATAACTTTTTTGTCGTACGAACTTCGAACTTCGTTATGTGAGAGAGATGAAAAATTGCTCCCGGTCGATAATTTTCACATCAATTTAGCACGCCCAAATATTACTACTTAGGCACTTTTGCTGAGAAATTTTGAAAATTGTAATTTTTTTCGAAAAAATCGATCGATCCAAACCACTTTCAATAGCGTTCGCCCTTAGGCAAAAAAAACACGTCACCTCTTGGTCTTGAAAATACCCGAAATCTGGCAAATCTGTTTAATCATATCCTTAAGTTTTTTTCTGAAAAAAAATAATATTCGACAGAATTGTGTTGATTGGCCTAACCTATTAATACATATACGAAAATTTTTGAACACTAATTTCCCGATTTTGTTGATGAATTTGTAGTCCATTCTTCAGTTTTCCTGGAATTTTCGTACAACATTTCTGAATACATCTTAGCTTAAGCTGATCTCTCCATCTGTTCGTCTACTAGGCCGTCCGCCTTGCTTGCTTGTGTTCAATCTACAGACCGCAATTTTGAAGACCGTTTGATGAAGTGTGGTTCACTGAGGGGTTTTAGACCAAGTATGGAACCACTTTTTCGACCCTTTGCCATACAACGTCTTGTTATGAAAAGTCATTGTATGAATAAGTGCAGGGAAATGTTGAGAGTTTAACGGTGAGCCGAAGTTCACTTCAGTGTTTTTATTTGCTATATGAATGATAAATTCCGATTATTGCTTATAATGAATATGGCATATATTTAAAGGAAACAATTGTTTTTCATTTTTCCTACTCTTAAGAGACAATGAGCAAAGAGGTTATCGTCCCTTAACGAAAAACAAATTTGATATTTTCTTTTTTTTTTTTTTTTTTATTCTTCTAAGTGAAATTTGAAGATTGTAGTTATAACGTTAAGAGAAACGCAAAGATAAGGATGTAAACAGAAGTGATTAGACCTTAGCGGACACAGTAAACATATATTGGAGGTACTGCAATCAACGTCATTTCAGAGTGCTTTCAGTGTTAAACATTTAATTTAATGTATAGAAACCCATTGAACAATTAATATACAACAATAAATAAGCCGAAGAAAGAAAGAAGAATGATTTGCGATTGATGGCGGAATATAGGAAATAAGAAGAAGTACGAATACTAAATACCGATCACATCAGACATTAACGTGTTTGTAAAAAATTTTAAATTATTGACAGCCTTGAGCCATCCATGATCGGTTTCAACAATACCCATATTTTTCAGATGAAAGTTGAGGGAATTATCACACCTGTAGAAATCGGTTACTATTAAAAGCAAACAGGCTTTTAGTCTTAACAACGTTCTAAAGTAGCGGACATATTAATTGAGTGTATTACACACCTGCTAATATGTGAATTATAATAAATGTGCCACAATAGTATGTAAGGTAACACTTAATTGGAATTAATATATAACGACGATACACTAGCTCTATAAGGATAAATTTAGTAAGGAATCATAAAATTCCTTACACTTTGAACATGTCCTCTCGTGCGAAAGATGAAACTTGTTAAGGTAAAAGCTTATATAATTTCTATGTTGTTTTACGGATCAGTTGATTGAACTAATTGAAAAACTTGAAATTACATTATTCATTCTTCTTGCGTACAAGCCTTGCTAGGTTCTTCATAAAACACGTAACTAATACTTACGAACATTTTTAACGTAATAAGAAACTCATGTGAAACTCTTTAGTATTGCAATCGATTCAATTATATTCGCTTTCGTTAATGGTGCCCTATAAGTAGGAAATTATAGTTTATTTTTTCCAGTTTATTTGCAAAAGACCAATCAATTCTTTTACACATATTAGTACATATGCAAAAGAAAATGAACGCTTTGTTCTTTTACATTTCCTTAGCCCTACCATTAGCTGACTTTCAATTGTAGCCTCATAACAATACTTCCTGCTAAAGCGCACAGGATTTTTTTTTTAAATATTCCCTATAAAACCCATTTAAGCGATGGAATCCTAACAGAATATCATTAAATTTAAAGCCAATCAGTCAAGAATGGGTATACGATAAATATTGGACTACGTAGAAGAATATAGTTTTGTAAAAAACGTGAATAAACTGTTAAATATTGGCTTCGCTTTAAGCCGTGAAATTGTTCGAAAAATCGAATTTTTTTGTCACATTGGAATATTCGACTCACTATGAAACATATTGAATATCACTCTTGAAAATTTAAAGGTTTTAAGAGGACGTTGTGTTGCATAGCCGAATAAAATGCAATTACAAATCTCAGTACAGTTTGAACATATTTGCAGTCAAATAACTGTAGCGAAGGTTGGAATCAGTAGAGCTATAACTCTAGCCGATTAATATCCATTAGGTTGAGATAGATATCTCACCATGTTTACACGTACACACTACATACTCCGGAAGATAAGTCATATTAAAAGAAATGAAATGAAAAAACGACTTACCTAAAATACTAAAAAAAAGTTAAAAAGAAAAAGAAAAGAAGAAAATTATGTCCGGTCGTGACTTTCGTGCTCTATAATATGGAGTTGGCGCAGATGATTTTTCCCCATTTCCAAAACAAAAGTCGCATAGACGCGTGGATATCGCAGACATATCGTTTGAAACCTTTAGGTTAGTTCCGAATTCTTTTGCGAAATTTGCAGGAAATTTCTTCATCTTCGCTAATGGGAGAATGCTTACCGCAGATAGTATACAGTCGAGCAGGCGAAGAAATGGATAGACGAACGGACGGACATGATTAAGTATATTCCAAAATTGCAACTGGCCAAGAATTTATATACTTTATGTGTCATCTGAAGCTTGTCTCTATGCGTGGCATTTTTTTTTTTTTTTTTTGTATTTTTGTATAGAGATCTGCCATAGTTTATGAGTAATGAGAAAAAACTAATTTTTTATTCCTTTTGAGAAACAGAGGCTCTCTTACCTTACGTAGTATTCTGTCGGTGTATCCTTCGACCGATTTAGCCTATTTTCAATACCAACCTAAGTGCAAAAACTGCCAAATTTGAAGTCAATATTCTCTATTTTGCGGGCAGGAGGCATTACAGAAACGGACAGACGGACATGATTAAATCAATTTAAACTATAGTACTGATTAGGAATGTTTATAGTTTGTCGGGTATCTGAAACTCTCCTCTGAGCGTTGCAAACATCTTGACAAAATTAATGTACCCTTCATATTTCGGTGATGGATATAAAAATTAACAGATCACATTTCCCTTCGCACTCGTACGATCTTACTAATAGTTCGATCCTGGCCTAAAATTCTTCCTATATTTGACCTATAGGGTGCATCTACAAGTAACAAAAATTCGGAAATATATTTGATTAGTTGTTAGTCTTGGTTGTGTTCTAATTTTTCGCTTAACATAATCTATTATTTGTATATTAATTTATGAGCTCGATCAATGGAGTAGCATATTTGTATCTGCCGTAGAGGCATTGCATTTATGTTTATGTGAAATCTACCTCTAGCATGTTTTCAATGGTTTCAATGGTAAGAAAACACGTGATATAAGCTTTACTAAGAGTACACGGGGGGTATATTAATCTACTGGAATGCTGCTTTTAAGTACAAGAATTATAAAATGTGACTGTCATTATGGGCAAGGGAAAGGCAATATTGTATACAAAGCACGAAGATTGTGTTTGTAATTTTAATCCGCCGTTAGACGGACATAGCTAGGTTAATTCCATTATCTACGTTGACCGAAAACATACACAAGGATGCCGATCTATAGTTCTGCTTGACTATCAAATAGCAAATGGCTACGAAAAACCTATGAGAACTAATAAACCAACTTAGGTGGTGGGTGAAAAAAAAAAAAACTTCCTCCTACGCCAACAAGGCCAAATAAATTTTTCTTTATTTATATTAAACTTACATAAATTATTATTTTATGTTTGTACAATATCAGCTACTTTTATCGGAAGTCTTACATATTAAAAACAAAAGTTAAGAGTTTCCTTTTTCTAATTTTCTATCTTTTAATATTTTCTTGGTTTCAGCCTGTTTTGGAATGTTGCATTCAATTTTTTATTAACAAGCTAGAATTCAAAAAAGCAATTGTCACGAATACTAAGCGTTAGCGACATGGGCGACTGATGGAAATGGCTATTTCATTTGACACGTTCCGTATATATAATGCAATTTGGCATAGAAGAATTTAGGCAACGAATCTTCCGAAGGCCACTGACACTTAATTAAGCAAGGCTAAACTCTCTCTCTCTCTCTCTCTCTCTCTCTCTCTCTCTCTCTCTCTCTCTCTCTCTCTCTCTTTCTCTATCTCTATCTCTATCTCTCTCTTTTGCTAGCTCTCTCTTTCTCTCTCTTTCTTTTTCCCTTTCTCTCTCTCTCTCATTCTTCTTCTCTTTCTCTGTCCAGCTCTCTTACTTCTCAAGCTAAACTTTCTCCATTGCTATTGATTTCTTAACCAACACATTTTTAAAAGAAGAAATGCTTCCCTATCCCAAAGAAAGAGAAAATGGTTCACTAAGATATTGCATCCTATTGAAGACTACTGCGCTGAATTTGAGTATCATTTAGCTCCAAAGATTAAAGACAATCTCCCAAAATTATTCTCACATTTGTTACAAAAGTGCTACGAAATCCTCACGTAGTCCTTGTCCACTTAATTGTAACTGATGTCTTAATCGTAGCATACAAATGAGAAATTTAAACCTTTCTCCAACTGTTTGTTAAACAATCGTTTAACTTAATCATATATGTCTTACTAATTAAATTCTCTTCGATCTTTATAACACATTCGCGCACAGTAAAAATTGAAAACTAATTAAAAATCTTTTGTAAAGGTAGACATAATATTGTGTGTATATACATAATGAATGCGATTATACAGGTCTAAATTTTCAATTAATTTTTATTAATATATTAAAGTTATATAATAATGAAATAAAAATAATTGATGTTTAAAATTCAAATACTATAGCACTTATGTCATTTTGCAACGCTATACTATAGTATTTACGCCCAAGAACATGTTAAGCGAGTAGGCCAAGTTATGTTCATTCGAATACGCTTGAATTCATCAAGATAAAACTTGACAATGTCAAAGCTGCAACCATATTGTTAGATATTTATAAAGCTATCGACAAAAACTGATAAAATAAATGAGATAAACGTTTTTATTATCGACTTCTAAAGATATTCAACGCTTTCGGGACGAAAGAGGTTTTTTGATTAAGACGATGGGTTATCTCCATAAAACTAAAATACAAAAAGACAAAAATCGTCTATCAAAATTTTGAGATGTCAGCTCTTAGGCATTTACGTTTCCTAGGACATATCATTCTCTGAATAGAAAAATTCATTGCACACTAACTCTTCGATATACGATGAGAAAACAGAAGGTATGGGAATGGAAAACTGTACAACTCAAAATCATTTAGTAAAATAATTTTTTTCTTTGTTTTTTCACTTATTTCGCCATTAAGTACATTTATGTACGTGTATGCAAACGTTGCATTTTAAGTACATACATGCACACATGTATTATTTATTTATATCGCTCTGTAAGCATCGAATGTTAAAATTATCCGCCTTATAGCTAACATTACTTTTTTTACGCGTCGATGACACAGCATCCGTTTGTTTTTTTTTTTTTTTCTACCCGTATATATATATATATATATATATGTATATATATATAAACACTATTGCTTCTTTTTCATCACATTCGTTGCCATGTTGTATCAAGGGCTAATTTTTCAAATCAGTCATCATATATTGCCGCAATTTTCTTGTTTTTTTTTTTTTTTGTTTTCTTTACTTAACTTAAAAGGAGAAACCATGCCCTGGTTGTTTTTTATAATTTTAATCTTTTTCTAATAAATGTTATTATTATTTTTATTATTATTATTAGTATGATGCAACTATAAATGAAATGCTTGATTAATTAATTAATTAATTTATTAAATTAATTAAAAAAATTAGAAATTAAATACAATAAACCTGATAAAATAATGCACGCATTTATAGGAAGTGGCTGAGTTGCGACGCCAAGTGGCCCTTGAAAATTTACAAAATCAACGCTTGGATAATTTTGATCAAGACGTACCTGTGGAATTTGAATGCTGTTTCTGCACATCAAAGGTACAAACCAATGTTTTGTTTTTTTTTTTTTTTTACATATATACAAGCATTTTAATATATACACCTACGTTGGAGTGTACGTAGGCGCGTAAGTTGATCAGTTGTAAGATCTTGACGTAATTTACGGAAATATATATATATATGTATATGTAAAAAATCAACATAGTTATCAACATTTTGAAATTTCATGATGATCAAATATTACGGCCATCTTTCGTTAGATGTGTGATTTTAAAAAACTGAATATAGCTTAAGTACACTGGAAGGGATAACCTAAGAAACACTTAATGATAAAAAATATCATGTTACAGATGCATCGAATAAAATCTGTGATCTGACAATATACGATAACAGAAAGTAACACTTTTTGTACGTTTTTTGAATTGCACGATTTTTCGAAACATATCATTTACTCATAAGGCAATGAACGCATCAAGCATCAAGCTTTCATTGAAGTTCGTCTTCACTGTCATGCAAATTATTTGATCGATAGGATTAAATTATGATTCAGGGCAATAGTTGTATAACTAGATATGTATCGAATAGAAAGATTTTTTTTGGTTTTGCGTATTATGAACAGATTATGGCTGTTTGGAAACTTGATCTGTGTTCATCAATAAAAAATTTGTAATCTATATTTCACTTCTCTATACCAATGTTTACTACAATCAACTTTTCACGAACAGACGATTGATATATGATGCACATAACTATGTTCCTTAAATCAGAAGTGTTCTCAATTTACATGATGCTGTGTCCATTGATCGATTTGGAACACTTTCAATACAAACCTGCCTATAAGAACTTCCACTTTTTCTGCCCAATACAATGTTTACAACAGAGATTACGCAAACGGACAGAGGGACTTAAATCGACTTAAATCGATGTAGAATTTGATATTGACCCTGAAAATGTATACTTTGTCGATGCTTCCTTTAGGCCGTTGCAAACGTTTTGACAAAATGAATATACTCCCCACCCTTCGCTGATGGCTACAAAAACAATGTTGTTCAGTGTATACATTTTACAAGGCGTCAATAAAAAAAAAGAATATTGAAATTGTACTCCGCAGTATTAAACGACTTTCTCACACACTATGTTCAACGTCAACCAATTGATGATATGTTTTGTAGGAGTATGTCAAGCTATATATATATTTATCAGTACAAAAACTTAAGAGCTGGAAACGTGCGACCATCAAGGTGTATGTCTCGCGGTATAATTTCATGACCTCTGTCGCTATTACTATGCATTGGAAAAAATCAACTTTTCGAAAGACAGTTTGATGAAACTATTCCTTTAAAAAGAAAAATATCGGCTTGTATTCCTTCCTTCCTCCCTATTTTATAACGCCCATTTATATTGCTTCAAAAGTATTTCTGATAGCAAATGTCGCCCTTTTCTTAAACATTATATTCAAACAAGAAAAAGTAGCTGAAAATTATTTATGAAAGCACACGAAAGAGTAACGAAACGAGAAACGCTAACACAAACACACCTCTAATAGCAATATTTTAGAAAAAGAGTAAAAATAATGGTGTATACGCGAGGCATTAGTCAGCACACGACTAAGCTGACTAACACAGGGCAGGTAAAAGAACAAAAATATTATTCTGTGACTGTAACATTGTTGTATGCTTTAAAATTCTTCGAACAGGGGATACACGGATGCAAAAGGCTTTGCTTATGCAGATGCCCTTTATTTGCGCTTTTGTATTTATGTTCTTTCACTTAGGACATTTACATAAGTCGTCGCTGTCATTCATATTTTGTGTTTTTTTTTTTTTTTTTTTTTTTTTTTTTTTTTTTTTTTTTTTTTGTTATTGCATAATAACATGCACTGTGATTTTACCATAAGTCAAGCGCAATCGTAATTTACATGAGTTTTGAGATGAGAAGAGAAAATGATTATGAACTTGCAGGATCGCGTTTGTACGTTCCATGGACGAGATTACACGATGAAGCAACTGGCTCGACCACCACCTTCGCCCAAGCATTATTTAGCCTTGAAACGTATGATTGAGAACGGAACCCTCGATGTCTATTATCTTTAAAATGGGTAAAATGCATAAATAGACCCCTCCCTCCCTCGTACAATGCTAATGCAGTAGAATATGTTTTTTTTTGGTTTTCCTTTCTATTTTTTTTTTTTTCGTTTTCAAATTTGTGGTTAGGTTTCGTATGACATTCGCTTATGTGTGCATAAATATGTAAATACGATATTCATACACAAACACAAACACATACATATATATATATATATATATATATATATATATACAAACATACACACACACGTGTAAGCATCTTATTGCCCTTGACTTACTCACACTTGAACATTTATTTAAGTCTACCTACCTATCTCTATGCATTATTGTTCGTTAATTTATTTAAATAAATCCAAATTATCTTATTATTACTTTAATGGATATCAAATCTCTCTTACGCTTGCAGAGTAAATTTGATTTTTCGATGAATTTAAATTAACTTTTATTTTTTAAAAGATTTTTTTATGCTATTGCTTATGCAGTTGTTATAGTTTTTTAATTTAATTTTTTTTTTTTTTTTGATTTTTTAGTTATTTATTTATTTATTTATTTATTTTTTTTGTTTATTTTTAAGGAATGGCAAGGATGTCATGGCGAATGTATCCCACTACGAGCGAATAGTGTTTAAATAGAATATCAAAATAAAATAAATAAAAATGAGACTGTAAGATATTCGGTTATATATCGGCATGTATAAGACTACCTATGCCCTAAGGAAAAAAGAAAAAACAAAAAAGAAAAAACAAAAGAAAAACAAAACAAATGCAATTTGCGGTTTCAAATTTTCCTATTACTAGATATTGAATACGAAGCAGGGAGCCAGCCGACTTGTAGTCTGCGGCATGATAAAAAAAGATTTGCGTTTGGATTTATGATAACATATTTCGTGACCAAAGAAAGCTTACTTCAATGCGGTTCGTTAATTTGTATAGCGTGTATAAAAGCCTGTATACGATATGAAAATCGCAAATCGCAAATCGAACAAAAAGACATACGGCCCTAAATAGATTAATACTTAAATAATTTTATAAAATTATAGCGACCTATGTAACTATTTGAAGAATTTTATGTGCAATTAGTATATTAAATAAGAGAAATCCCAATTGCTTAAAAACTTATTTATTATAATTTGAATTTTCTTTAATATGTTAAACCGTTCAACTACAGATGCATACATATATACTCGCATATAGAAACAGAAAAGTCGTGTGTGTGTATGTGGTTTTATTAACGATTGTTTTAATGAAAGTAAAGCGAAAAGTTCGCTTTTCTTTTAACTTTTTTTTTATTTTTTTTTTCCTTTCTTTGTAATATTATTTTAACAATTAAAATAAACAAATTTACATTTTTACTAAACACATGTTTCGTTTAAAAGGAAATCTTATTTTTCAAAATTGTTGTTAAATTGTAAGTTATGGGCTAAAGAATGCGAAAATCGATATGAAATTATCGATAATAAATTATAAATTTACAAGATAACTACATTCGTTTCCGCCGGTCCCTCAATACATTGACTCTACCTTCAAAGCCATTTTCCTTCCTTAAAAGAATTCAGTTCAAGTTAGGGAATATCGAGAATATAACATTTGTGTAGTAATTCTATCTCTGTCTGGTAAGTTAGATTTTTGTTTTTTTTTTTTTTTTTTTTTGTCAAGAAATCTTACATTCACTTATTCGAGCAATGCCAATAACCTTGCGTTATTTTATAGTGACCTTAAAAGTATATCATCGCCGACTTTGGAATGTTGACTAATTCGGAATTCCGAACTGAGCATCATCCCATCAGTCGCGGAAAATTCAAGTCGCATGGAAAAGCTACAAATTCAAAAAACTTCTCTCAATACATTTTTCGGTTAAGTTTTAATGTATCGATCCAATAGGGATGACTAACTTTGCGCTGAAATATGTCAGTGTGCCAAATTTCATGAAAATGCCAAAAAAAACTTATGGTCAATAGGTTGAACATAAGAATATCAGACGAACAGAGGGATAGCCAAGTTTAAATCGATTCAGAATATTAAACCTATCTCTCTATCTATCTATCTGTCTCTTGGCTACTATATACATGTCCGCGCAAACTTAATACAACTTATATACAGTCTTTACCAAAACTTTCTATTCCGTTCAATTCTTTTTCAATAAATCTTGAATAATTAGAGAATTTTTCAAAAAAAGGAAGACTTGCATCTTCCTATCACATATATGAAAGGTCAATCTGTAATTGATGTGACATTCATGCGAGGGAACAAAAAAGCTGCCAGCAACAGTAGAATTTCTGTTAAGGCGATATTTTAATTTTTTTTTTTCACAAAATTTATGTGATCTTAAAAAATCCAATAATCGATAGGGAAATAGACAGAAGTTTGTGTAGTACAGTGACTACACTTCTGGGATTATTATATAATTCCGTGAAAGTTTTAAATGAATATGTGCTTTCTCAATTACGGCTAGTTGATCGCCTTTAGCCCTTCCAATGGGTGAAAGAATGCCATGCTTAACCTTAAAGTGTATCTATATATTTAGTTACATATTCAGTGAATTCAGTGATTACGGTTTCTCGTTCAAGACGAACATCACTATAAAATTGATCTACAAATGTAACGAATTTGCGAATAATTTTAATTCGCAAAATTAAATTTAGCTTTGTTAATCGGTGATGGGGAGAGTGTGCCAACTCTTACAATACGCTTACCATCATGTGCCGTCGATCGAGATTGAAATTTCACGATAAATGAAATTTGTAAAGATGTACTGCACGGAGCATTAAATGCGCGTGTCTCAATATTAAGATTGTGAATGTAAGGTAAGTTTTGAAAACTTTCTCTTTCAAATAAATACTAATGAGTTTAACATAACATCCAAGCTGGCTGTTTCACTGTAATTATCGCTATCGTCGGCTTTTAGGCTAATAAATACCCTGTCCATCAGTAACTGAACGCAATGAAATGTATATACGTTCGCATTTATAAATACATTGCACAAATATTCCGTTAGAGTGGCAGGGATTGAAAAAAAGTGAAAATACCTCACATAATCAACGCAACATTTTCCTAAAGCTGGACTATGCTTATTTCTTAATTTTTAAGATCACAAAATCACAAACCGGAACTCTTCTTCTAATCTTCTTTTCTTTTTTTTATTTTTTTTATTTTTTATTTTTATTTTTTTTGTTTTGTTTTATTTCTGCGTTTTCTTTTCATTTGTAGGATTTTAAGGAGTTTACCGACGCCGAAGGTGTTATTGCTCTTCCCACTTCAGACTTCCATAGGCCAATCTGTTACGAATTGCGTACAGCTGCTAATCGACAAATTCCAGCGAGCCTTCCATTTGGTTTACTGGCCCCAACAACGCCGCCACTTCCCACCACTCAGATGTCCAGTTTGATACAACAGCAGCAGTTGATCGGTCTTAGTGTTTCAGTTGCGACAGGCACAACAAATGTTGACGCCATTTATTCCATTGGCAGTGATGGTGGAGTTTTGCGCGCTCCCGCACTGCTGCACACTGCCTCTGGCGTTGCGCCAATATCACAGTCATCCTCGACGTCTTCGTCGTATGGTACTACAATATCCACAACATTAGCGCTGCCAATCGATACGCCGTTGCGTTATCCACAGTACATCACTAACTCGAATTCTGCGAATAATAATTTTAATCACAATTACAATAACAATCTCAATTCAACATCTATAGGCATAAGCCATCCATTATCAATAACATCGGGAACGAATGCCAGTTTAAGTATGAGCATTGGTTTAACGGGCCTCACAAATAATTTCAGTAATAATAACTTAAATAATAATTACAATAACAATAATGCGGATTTAGCTAGTGTTGATAGTTCGGATACTTATGCTAGTTGTCAAACGCATCCATTCCTGTCACAAGGAGATCTTACTTCAGATTTTAATGAAGAGGTGTGCGCTCTGGACATTGACATGGACAATTTATATATAAATCCTTTGGAAAAGGATTCGACGGGAAATAATACAAATACGGGTTATATAGTGGGATTGCCAACGACTCCATCATCAGGACAAATACGACCTCATGTCAAGAAGAGCGCATCTGGCGATACATCATTCCGCAGTTTGGTTGCTGGCGGATTAAGTCCTATGGATGATCTCTATCAAAATTTTGATGTCCACGAACGTGGCAGTCATATTAGCCTAAACGAGAATCCTGTGCCAAAGCATCGCAAGACGCGTTTTCAGCAAAGTTATGCAGCAGCGATTTCCAATGTTGGGGCTGCAACTGGTCATACACCCAGACTGCGGGCACGCTTCGATGACTCGAAGCTATCTGCCGAAAATTTAGGCGCCGATAGTAGTCCTGCCAGCTGTGGAAGCAAAAAGAAACGTTCATCTTTTATGCCTGGAAAAAGTCTAGCCACTGCCACCAAACTAATTAATCAACATTTGTTCGGTATACAACATATCGGACCTAAAGGTAATGTTATGTTATATCAAAATAGAAAAAGGAATACATTTAATCACTTGAATGGGTTTTAACTAAAACTTACGAATCTCGTTGTACATATACGTATAATGTTTTGTATGAGATTCATTTCTACTTTTCTTTCGCTTATCTACGGCTTCCCAAACTCATTACGTTACTTGCATGTACATAAGTACTTCATTGGAGGGTATCTTTATCTACAGCTTTTTGACATGTACACGTGTATGTAGATAGCAGTGATGATATTCTTATGTACATATCAATATAATTGTACAAAATTCATGTATTCATACATATGTAATATACGTGTTCCATATATTATTGTTCGCTTGCTGGTGTTTATTTATTTTATTTTAGCCAAATTTGAAAGCAAACATTCCTCATCAATAGACTCGATCGATGTTTCACCCAACTTGGAACATCATCGGCGCTCCAAATCAATACTAAAAAATAAATCGGATATCTCGCGGGTTGTAACGGATCCCGAAAGTGAACGTCTTTTAGCCGACAATATGTCTGGTTCGGGTGTATCCGACAATGGCACCGTAATGGTAAGTGCACTTATTTTCTATATACATAAATGATAACATTCAATAAATAACAATATATATATATATGTATATATATATATATATATTTATACGTATATGTTATAGGGTGAATCAGGCAGCGATTACTCACCGAACAAATTACCTCATTCAGTATTAGCTAAGTCAATATCCCCACCACCCCTTAGGCATCGTACGCTGATGCAGCAGCGCTCGGGACCGGCAACACTTCAATCGTCAAAACCAACCAAATTCCAAACGCCACGCTATCCGGAAGAGCAGGCCCTGCGTCAAGTAAAACCCGTCGTCGCCCGATCATCAGCTGCCTCGTCTCAACTAACCAACGACCACCGTTACGATTCTATTAATCGTGACAGCAGCTTAGGTAATTTTTAAAAATAATCATAACTGATTCCCCGATTCAGCTCAATTCATAGTCAATTCAATCTTTTGTTTTTACAATCTTCTCCATTCAATCTCTGCTACTATCATCATCACAACGATAACAACAATAACAACGACATCCTCTCAGTTATATTCGATGCTGCAATTTAAAACACAGTTTCAACAAATTCGTGCATGCCCGCCTCCAATTTCGAACTTTGCATAATGTACATCATTTCTTTATTGTGTATTGTATGAATATGTTTCTTTTATTTTCCAACCTTTTCGTTTCATTATTCCTGCTCCACACACTTGCAAACAATCGAATAAGAAAACATTCACATTTTTGCATTAACCACTTACTCTTTTTATTTTCACTTCTGCCACTAATATTAACGCTTACATCTGTTATATATACATAAATGTAAATTTCATGTGTACTTGTCTTCTCCTTGTTACTTCTAACATTTCGAAACTTATTTGCGTAGTATATTTTATAAAATAAAGATATTTAATATGCCATAAGTGTTGAAGGTACGTAGGACCTTTCCCGTCCCAATTCTTGTCCCAACTGAGGCAATAATTGATGAAAAATTGAACCCAGCTTACGATAGTTCACCAATGCAATGCTTGGATCTAGATTTTCTATTATATAGTTACATAATAGGATACTTACACTTACCTAGTTTGTTAGGTTTACCGTATGTTCACATAATTTTGATGAAATCCCGCCAAAGGGTAGCTGTTTTTTAATTTTAAAGGCATCAGCAAGTAAGTTTCCAACACTTTAGGGTAGGGGGCCGATACGATGAAAGCGAAGTTTTATCGTCCGCCACCGAAAGAGCTTTTCACCTTCAGTTCACCTAATCGATTTTTGTTGGATGAACAAAGCAGCTTTGCTTTAGCTTTGTTTTTGAAAATATCGAATATATATGCACTACCACATAGTCTAGATGATAAGAAACGCTATAATCAAGTTAGTATACCATGCTTGAATTTTCAGTGCTGTAAAACATACTTTACTTACGACTGCCGTTTGAGGCTGCAAACAGCGGAGAGTTCGAAGAGTTTTAAAATTTGTGAATAAAAAAGCGTTAAGGAGGCGAAAATCTTTTTGAGTACGAAAAATGCCTCGTGACAATTGAGGAAGACTACACTACACTGCAGTGTTAAGCAATATAGTCCGATGAAAACAAGAAGACGCGTTTTTTGTCCCATATCGAACGAAGAAGCTTCGCTTACATATTAATCTCCTTAAGCTTCATTTGACTATTATTTTTTATTTCTCGTGTTTCATTGTAAATTTGTTATTATATAATTTTATATATAAGTTTCACTTCGTTCTTATGCACAAAAATGAAAGCAATAATAAATTAATTATTTAATTTACATTCATAGTTATTGCTTCATTCCTTATATTATCCCATAATAAACAATAGTAATGTTTTAGATATATACATATATACATTTTATGTATATATGAATATATATACAATATATATATATATGTGTATACGTAGACATACATCTTTTTATATATATATATATATATATATATATATATATATATATATGTATTTGCTAATATGTATGAGAAAGACGAATTTGTATATGTCAATGTATAGGTGTGTAGGTGTATAGGTTTTTGTACCACCTATACGTGTTAACTGAGCATACTTCTGTTTCAATTATGATTCTTTAGACTCGGAAACAACATTCACATCTAACGTAAATCTGCAAGGCGAAGCGGTTGATAGTGGCAATGATTGCAGCGGTGATGCTGGCGGTTCAAGTGACGAGAATCGTTCGCTACTGCATCGTGACAATTCAGTCAAGGATGGCGACGATCGAAAATCAGAGAATGGCCAGAAGGCGTAACAACCAATGAAAATTAAAAGCGAAAGCTAGAAGGCAATTAGAAGCGACTAAGAATAACTTAGAAAGAAAACGATACCAGCGTGAAGAAGAAATATTGCGGAAAAGCAAAATGCAAAATGCAAAATAGAAAATAAACAAACAAAAAGCAATGAATTCTTTACATTTTAAGTCTCGTTTAACGTATTTTCCTTTATGTTATTTTTTTAACAAAACCATAAGCTTATATACAAAAGAATAATTATTTTATAAATTTAGTCAAATAAGAGAAACAAAAAAAAAAAAAAAACAAGCAAACATAGAAACCAGAATACTTCGCTCCGAATCGCTAAAAAGTGAAGATTGCGAATTTTTAAGCTTTCAACATAAAAAAAAAAAAAAACAACAAAAAAAAAAGCCGGTAAAATTTATACAAACACGCCGTGATTTCTAAAATAAAAATCTCTAGCTTCAAATTCTCTTCTATTTTTTTTTTTATTTGCTTTTGCTATTTTGGTTGTTTTTTTTTTTTTTAATATATTTTTTCTACTTATTCACCGCTACAATTTTACTACTTTAACGTAATTATGGACTAAGAGTAATATATACTACATACACAAACATACATACATATATATATAAATACCTGAAAAAATTCTGACGGTGAAAACGAATCGAATTGAACTGAATTGATGATACATTCATATACACTTAGATAAAAAAAAAAAATTAAAAAAAAATGAATAAATAAATAAAAAAAGCAAAACAAAAAATGCATCGATTGAATACCTCTAACTAATCCTTATACAATACATGTGCACACAAATTCTCATATAAGTATGTATATGTATGTATGTATATATATATATATATATGAATATATGCAGATGTAAAATTATATCATGCTATTGCTAATATTAAACATAAATATTGTAATTATTAACGCAACTCTAGATAAACATGTGTGTGCATGCATACTAACCAAACACATCTCTCTACATAATATATTGATTCATTACTGATATATATATATATATATATATATATATATACGCTAACAATGGTAGTGCAAAAGCGCTTCAGGTTTATACTATTTACAAATATACATAATTGTCGGCACATGATAGAACGCATACCCATCACGTCTGAACACAATATTACAAAAAAGAGAGAATATATGTTTTTAATGGGGAAGTAGGGAGGGGAGGGGATTGTTACTAAATTCATTTTTCCGCTTTCTCTTACTTCGTATGGGTCTCCAAATATCATTTGCTGTCACTTATATTTTTTCGGTTTTAGAGAATCCAGAAAAAATCTCTCTGATCTTTTTTCACGACCGCTCTTTGACCGATCTTTTTTCGAAGCCATGTTACTACTTGTGCTAAAAGGGCAGATTTGTGCGGACGTGCATGCACTAACCAGAAAGACTTACGATAGATCTATCTTTTATTATGACAGTCGATTCAGAAACATGATTCGAAAGCTTGTTTGTCCGTCTGTCCGTCTGTCCGCTTTGTTTCCTTTTGTTCAACTTAGAGGTCGCACTAATTGATTTATTTGAATGAAATTTGCTATAGGCGCTTTTGAAATTGACTTTTTCGGATACTTCCCATATGACGCCCTATTTTGAATAGTCGATATAAGGATAACTGCAGAGAGGCGTAGAATGGACCGCGTTTTACTATACTTTTCCTACTTGCTAATTTGCCAAATTCGTTTTTACAATAAATCAAAGATAGTATAAAAATCTACAAATTCTAAAATTTGTCCATTTTCAAATTGCTTCTCGCAAAGGCAAGAGAAAAAACTATTCTTTTATACTCACTTTGGACAGTATCGGTACAAAAAATTTACTTTCCATCGTATAAAAAAAAAAAGAAAAAAAAATCCGATATTATATAAAATTATATATATATACGTTAGCATGAAAAGTCTTTCTCAATCGGATTAATAATATTCGCTTGTGTCTATTCGTTCGTTCATTAATTGCCTGTTGTTAGAATTTTCGAGTGGGGAAGAAATTAAGATAGAAAATGAATAATCACTTAAATCATCACATTATCTTATATTTATCAACATAGCGTACAAAAGAAGCCCATACTAGCGAGAGCGATTTGAATCTTATTTTATTGCGTAAGTCTTCGATATGAAAATGATTGAATTTGTACTAAAAATTTTTTACATATTTACTAACCCGTACTACCTAAAAGATATTCAAATTGCTCTAACTTTAACTTTAATTTGGATTAATCCTTCCATCGCTCAGGTATCTATAATATAATATTATTTAGGCCTAATATTATTTACGGCAATGGGTTGATAAAATGTGCAATAAACTAAGAGTAGAGTTGAGATGATGGGTGTCCGAAATTCGTTCACGAACGAATGTAAATTTTTTCATCTTTTCTAGTTTTTCTTCTTTTTTTTTTTTTTTTTTTTTTTTTT